GACCAGGGATGGAGGGGAAAGCACTCTCAGGAAATTTTACAATATGCTCACAGTTGGAGGGAAGAGTCTACAGATAAACATTTTACCTCCTTTCAGAGCTTCCCCACTTTCAGCTTAAGAAGCTCTGTCAGATGATGGAAGTAGTTGTCACTGTAATGCTTTACCAATTTTCTCAACATTGGACTTATCTTAAATTCTTTGTATTGGGTCTGTGGGCAAATCTAATAAATAAAGTCCTTCCTCTCCACTGAAGTAACAGGAATATAAAATCAAGGTGTCAAGACTATTTTTGAGACCAAAATATTATAAGATTAATACTGGAGCATATACTTATACCTCTGGCAAGCTGGATTCTGGTCAAAGGCTGGGCCAGGCAGCCTTTCCCCACAGCATTGTATCCTGTAAAATCTGTAGCCTGAGGGGAGTGGGGGAGAGCCTAGGTCACTCCCTGAGGCAGAAGCAAGGAAGGAGCAGGAGGGACCCAGCTCTTACTCCATAGACCCAGTTCTTACTACCAACCTCATCAATTAATATATACATTCCCCTCTGTATGGGAAAAAGCAGAAAGATGAATAAGAAAAAAAATTAATGCACAATGAATACATGATTAATGATAGAAGTTTTCCAAAGGCTTTTCTTGGGGGCTGTGAGGCTTAAAAGATGGTAAATAGGAATCAACTTTAGAGATGAAGACATGTTGGAGAGGAAACAGCAAGAGCACAGATCATGGAGTAAGGAAGAAAAATCCTTCTCTGGGCTTTAGTAACTGGGTGCCTGGGTATAACTAGATTTTCTGGAACAAGTAGGCCAGACAATGTAAGATGGTGTGGTGACTTTGGAAAGTAGTTTGGCAGTTTCTTATAAATTTACCACACAGCCCTCCCTGGTGGCACAGCGGGTTAAAGCGCAGCACTGAGAAGCTAAAGCCACTTCCGCATGAGTTCGATTCCCGCCTGCCCCGAAGGTGACTACATGGCGTGGCAGACCTCTCCTGACCCCCCCACTGCTCCCCTCAGCAGTGTGCTTCATCGATCTGCCTGTTCTGCTCCCCACTCTGTCTCTGGTGAGGCCTCTCGCCGCCCCTGAACCTCTGGCCTGTACTCCAGTTCTGTATGCACAAATAAATAAATCTTGAAAAATAAAATAAAATAAATTTACCACACAACCCAGGAATTCGACTCGTAGGTATCTACCCAAGAGCAATGAAAATTTATAGCCATATAAAGACTTGCACAAGAATGTAATGTGTGCAGCACACAACTCAAAGTAGCTCCTAAGTGGAAACAGCCTAAGTGTTTATCAACTGCTGAAGAGCTCAGCAGGATGCACCACGTTCACACAAGGGGACACTTCTTGTCAATAAAATGGTGTGAATGAGTGATATGTGCTACAACCTGAAAACACTGCAAAAATAGCAGGCTGAGATTTAACCGTGGGGTGTAAAAAGGCAGATGGAAATGGCACATATTATATTATCTCCTGGATATGAAATATCCAGAAAAAACAAACTTAAGGAGACAGAAAGTAAATTAATGGCTCCCCAGAGTGGGTGCGGGGTGGGGCGAGGGTGCAGGTATGCGCCATACAGGGCACAAAGGGGGAACTTCTCTGGATTGGTGGAAATGTTCTAGAATTATACGTCAAGGCTCAGCAGCTTTATAGCTTCACTAAAAAGTATTGATCTGTATTCTTAAAACAGGTGTGATTTGTGACTTATATGTAACTTATCCTTCAATACAACTGTAAAAATTAACACGTTATCAAAGTCAGACAGAAAGGAGAGAAAACTGCAATGGTATGGAGAGGCTGCTTAAGAGCTTAAGGAATGGAATGAAGGCCTTGCTAGGGCCACAATACCTAACGGGAAAATCACTGACAATTTTCCAGAATGAAAGAGAGTTCGAGTTCTCAATAAAAAGTAAACAAACAGGGCCCTCCCTGGTGGCACAGCGGGTTAAAGCACTGCACTAAGAAGTTTGAGCCACTCCCGCATGAGTTCGATCCCCGCCTGCCCCGGAGGTGACCACATGGCGCGGCAGACCTCTCCTGACCCGCCCGCTGCTCCCCTCAGCAGTGTACTTCGTCGATCTGCCTGTTCTGCTCCCCGCTCTGTCTCTGGTGAAGCCTCTCACCCTCCGCATCTCTGGCCTGTACCCCAGTTCTGTATGAATAAATAAATAAATCTTTAAAAAAAAAAGTAAACAAACAACTGGAGAGCTCTGATGAACATCGAAGATAAGCAAATTCAGATCTGGAATGCACTCAGGAGAGAAGGCCGATGATCGCGCCGAAGGCGATGAGACGGGCAGGAGACTGTAGCAGGGACAGTCGCTGTCAGAGTCCACGGGGCGCTGTCCCTAGCAGGACCGAGCAACTGCCTGCCTGCCGGAAGTGTATGATGGGACGCGACCTCCCAACAGCGAGGACCGGGTGGAGACATTGTCAACTACAGAGACACAGAATTCCCTCCATCACCATGACCCCTTCAGAAATAACAGTAAAGGATGGACTTCAGCTAGAAGAAAAACAAACCCAAGGGAAGGCTTTGGACGTAAGAAAAAAATAGTAGGGGAATTAATAAAATACTTCAGTAAACTTAAACTTTTGACTACAGAAGTGGTTTTTAAAAAAAGATTTATTTATGTATGCATACAAGAGCTGGGGTACAGGCCGTAGGTGCAGGGGGTGAGAGGACTCACCCAAGACAGAGCGGGGAGCAGAACAGGCAGGTGGACCTAAGTACACTGCTGAGGGCAGCAGCGGGCGGCCAGAGAGGTCTGTCTGCTGTGCCACGTGGGTCGCTCCCTGGCCCGGATCCGAGGCTGCGGAGAGCTTCATAGTGCTGCCCTTTAGCCTTTGTGTCACCAGGGAGGGCCCTACAGAGGTGATTTTTAAATTTAAAAAAGAGACTGCACGTAATGATAAGATGGGGGTGGGGCTGGCAAGCAGGGAGCGTATGCACAGTGTGCAGGGCTTAAGAAGTACACGGTGACCTTCTTAGAAAAATTGTGTCATTGAAAAGTATGCGGCAAAATAAAAGACAATTCTGAGAAGAATAGAATGACATTTATTAATTTAACAGGAGGCGGAAAGGAAGAAAAAGCATGAGTAATGGTAGCAAATGAAAAAATACAAAATGGGATGAAAGAAAGGCCCACATGTATTTGTATTCATAATAAAGGCACACGGATTATATTCACCTGTCAGAGAAACAACAGAAACAAAACCTTAGCAAAGATTAGACACAAAGAGATGAAAAATCTTTTGGCAAACAGCCAAAAGAACGGTGGTGCATCAGTCTCAAACATTAATGTCAGCAGCTAGCATGGGGCATTGCGGGAGAGCAGCACGTCAGGATCCAGCCGCGGCCTTGAGGGACACGGCTGTGCTGCGGATCACACCCGCGTGCTTCACCGCCACTAGCTTCAGTGTGGGCTCACTACAGGTGTGTCATGAAGATGGACGAATGGACCGCTGACCACGTTCGGAGAAAATGAACTGTCTCTGGGCTGTCACTTCCCAGAGCAGGGCTATGTCTTCCTCAGCTTTGTGCCACCGATCCTGGGCACGGCACTTGGCACACCGCAGCCACTCCTGACATTCAAACTGAACTCAAGTCCATGCCTCCCATGACAACTCCAACTGCTCCTGCCTGGAACGCCTCACCCTTTGCTTTTATTTCTATTTTATTTCTTACTCTGAAACATCCAACTTCGATTACATAGCAGTGTCCCTCGCTTTTCTCTGCTTATTTCGAACCCCATGTCTCCAAACGTATTTCAGATTCTTCGCCGGTAGAAAAGATGCCTTTATACTGCGCTTAGTACCTTGAACAGCTACCTTTAGGGAAGGCTGTCACTCCTTGAATGTAGATCAGCTCAGAGATGCCTGTCCCACATGCCACACCCTCCAAAGGATATCTCCACCCGCCCCCCAGCCCCCAATTCTGGACACTAGAGAAGACTAGAGATAGGTTACTAGACAAAGAAAGAGAAGTTCATAGGAAGGACAATTTCAACCCTCTGTGCTTCCCCCTTATGGCAAAATAGTCCGGAGGGAATTGCCTACCGTTCTGAAGGGGGTGGGGGGGAAGTGTGGGAAGAGGACTTGTCCCAAACACTCCAGAAGTCTGCATCTGACTTTCCTCTACAGCACGCAATCTGTCAGAAGTTTATCTTGAGATCAAAAGGAAATCCCGAGGCAAACAGCTAAATTCACCCACTGGGGAATGTGTTTATAGGACAGAGAGGGAGGGGAGCCGTTTTCATATGCAAGGACAAGGCACTCAGGAGAAGCCAGAGGGCTGGCAGAGGGCAGGGGGGCATTTTCTCACTGGTCTGAGGAGACTCTATGGACATGCGGGGATGAGGGCAGGGAGAATCTGGCCGACCTCCCCAGGTCCTTAGTAACTCCCGAGTTTATTATATAGGGAGTCGTGCTCTTCCCGGTTTAAACTCCTACATACATAGTAAGTCCCCTGGGCTTCCTTCCAGGTTTAGTAAGGCGCCACGCAAGCTGCTGGCGCTCAACGAACCACTCAAATATTTGTTAACGAATAAATGAATCAAGTGTTTAAACAGAGCCCACATGACCTCCCTACGGCGGTGAATGAAATCAAAACATTCCAGGCACGATCACTTGAGCAGAGCCGAGAAGGAACACACACACACACACTCATGCACGCACACACGCGCGCGCGCACACGCCCACCCCCATCACTGATTCTGCTCCGTTCACATTCCCACCTTGGAGCACCGGCCACCTGCTCACACGCAGGCTCTAGGAGTTTCCTTGGCAAAGATCCTCTCGCAGCTGCGGTTGGCAGGTGCCTCCAGAAGGTCACGCCAACCATTTAGGACCTCCTCCCGCCGCTCCCCTTCCGGGATGGCCTCAAAGTTTCTGCCCAGATTCGGCCTGGGCCTCCCCAGGGCGCGTCCGTGCCCCCTCGGCAGCCCGGGAGCCCAGCTCGCCGGTTCGCAGCCCTCACCCTTTGGCCTTACCTTGGTGAGCTGGGCGATCTTCTTGCACATTTTCACGTGCATCTCGGGATCGCAGTCCATTCTCCAGTCGGCGCCGCCGCGGGCATCGGTTTTGGAGCCCGGGCAAGTCCCGGGCGCGTGAATTTTGCTGTTGAGGGCAGAAGCCATCGCGAAAATGCGTGCCGTCCTCTCGGCTCCAGCTAGTGTTCTCGCTACCCGCGGTGCACGTGCGTGCGCGCGGCTGTGCGAGCGCGGGTCTCACCCGGTGCTCTGCAGTCCCGCGGTCCGCACCGCCGCGTG